CGGCCAGTCCCTTCACTGCATTTTTTTTTTTTTTCGGGTGGCGACACATGCAGTGTTCGTTTTTTTTGGGGGGGTCTGATTGGCGGAATGCCGCATACCCACCGTCCGTGTGTCGGAAAAGGGGGTTGCAAATGGAATGGTCCCTCTAGCCATTTCGTTCGCCCTTGTAGCCAACCTGTGCACTGTCGCCGGCGCGTGACGAACATTTGTCACGAACACGATATGACCTGTCCACGCAGACGGTGGCCAAACGACATCTTCGCGTTCGGACTCCTCGTCACGCACTCCCTTTATCGCCGCCATCGCGCAGTCCCGACGTCATCTTCATGCCACGACACCGTTCCTTTTCGCGCAGTGTGTGTCTTGCCGCCATCTCTCTCGCCAGACGTCATCTTCACGTTGGGACTCCTGTTCGCGCACTGTTCGTCTCGCCGCCATCTATCTCGCCACACGTCATCTTCACGTTGGGGCTCTTGTTCGCGCACTGTTCGTCTCGCCGCCATCTATCTCGCCAGACGTCATCTCCACGTTGGGACTCTTGTTCGCGCACTATGTGTGTCGCCGCCATCTATCTCGCCAGACGTCATCGTTGGGACTCCTGTTCGCCTAGTGTGTGTCTCGCCGCCATCGCTCTCGCCAGACGTCATCTTCACGCTGGGACTCCTGTTCGCGCACTGTGTGTCTCGCCGCCATCTCTCTCGCCAGACGCCGTTTTCGCCAGACGTCGTATTCACGCTTGGAGTCCACCTGCGCAGGCTTTTCCTCACCGCCATCATTCTCGCCCTTCCTTCTTCTCGTCATCGTTGTCTGTCTTCTCCGCGATGACGAATACTCGCAACTCTAGCAAGGGGAAAAGGGAGAGGGACTCCCAGAAAGCGGAAGCTGCCGGCGTCGTGAAGCGGGGGAGGCATCAGGCGAAGAAGCCCAAGGCATCAAGCGGCGGTGCTCTGGTGATCGGGAGGTCCGCGCGGGAAGAATGGGTTGACGAGGCCAGCAGCGGACAGGACGACGATTTCAAATTGGAGGCGGACTTGTTTCATGGGAGGAAAGTGACCTTGCGTGACGTGTCGAACGCGAGAATGGTGAGCGGAGAGGAAGGCGTCGACGGTGGTAAAGATGGGGGTCACGGGGTTGCGCGAGGCAAGGGTGAGGCGGTCGGCGACGTGGGAGGTGGTGTTGCTGCCAGGGAGGAGCGTGATCAGCCGATGACCCCTGCCATGCACGGCGCCGTGCCGTCGAAGGACGTGCAGGCCGCCCAAAACGTCGGTAAACACCCGCCAATGCGGGCGCCTTCAAACCCAGCGACACCCACGGCGGGACAGGCGAGAAGGGATGAAGGGGCGGGGGTGAATGCGGCAGTCAGGGGACAGCTTGCAACGTGCATTCCCGCAAAGGAAGCCGCAGCGGTGGGAGCCGTCGTTGGTACATCGACGGCAGGCGCGGGGGGGGCGGTGGCGACGGTCGTGATGATGCTGATGACGACGATCCCCTCATTAACAGGCTGAGGCGATCCGGAAACATGGCGGCTCTGGAGGCGAAAGAGAAACTGTGGGTAGACGATCTGCGTTTCTGAAACGAGACGGAGGGGCATGGGATGTTCAAGATCATCCAGGAGACGCGCCTGCACCTCATCGCCGTCGCGAAGGGTGTGAAACCGCCAGAGATCAGAAAAAACGTTGTCCTCCCGAACGCCACGATCCTTCAGCAGAAGCTGGAAGACTCGTCGGAGTTGGGGGCCGCGAAGGAGAGGGCTTCGAGGGTGAAGACCATAGCGTTGCGCATCATCCATGGGTGGATCTTCAAGTCCCCCAATCGCGCGCACGGGTACCACTGCTCGTACGGCTATGTGCTGAACCACGTCGCCACAGACCTCGCCCGCGCCATCTGGTTTGGAGAGGACTGGTGGGTATGTGTGAGTCCGGCGGTCGTTCATAACACCTTGGAGCTTCATATGAAGCTCCCCATCTGGTACGTAGGTGGCGTCATACACGATAGGCACGAGGACGACGAAATGGCGTCGTATCAGGAGTCCACAACGCAGCGTCTCGTGGGAGCTTTCATGAATGTTGTTGACACGGGGAAGGGGTAAACGGCGGACGGATATCGTACGAGAGGCTGAGGAACGTAGCAGACTGCATGCGCCTTTTGCTGTCTGCCGCCATGTGGATCATGCGGATGGCGGGAAATAATCTCCATTCGCACTATGAGGCATCCCATCTCGTGGAGCTCATTGCGAAACCGACGCTCATTGCGTTGCTGCATCGCTCGTTCGACGCGCGCCGCCATGTTCTGCAGTGTGTCAATGCAGTAACGGAGAAAATGGGGAAGCCCCCCATGACGTTGGTCGACCCTCCGGTGTACATCCCCGACTGGGTTTCGTGTGGGGTGTCGTTCCACAACGACGCCACGTTGACATCTCCTGAGCTCGCTAGACGACTAGATTGGTTAGGCACCGGACCTCCGGAGATTGATGATGAAGACGAGGAGAAGGACGAAGGCGGGGAATCGTGACAGCAGCCGCTGTGGACGACTACGGAGAAAATGGGGAAGCCGGATGCCGCTGCTGCTGATAACGACGATGATGTCGACGATGAGGACGTTGATGATGATGGTGATGATGGTGATGATGGTGATGGTGATGATGATGGTGATGATGGTGATGATGATGATGGTGATGATGGTGATGGTGATGATGACGATGAGGACGTTGATGATGATGATGATGATGGTGATGATGATGATGGTGATGATGACGATGATGATGATGATGACGATGTTCACGATTAAACAGGATGTTGAGTTTAGTGTCATAGATCTGCGAAGTGAAGTCCTTCCAATCATCACTAATGAACCTGGTGTCTCAATCACTCACAGGAGTTTTCTGGGGTCCATACTGCAGAATGTACTTCTAGTGAAATTCTTCGATCACTAGCTCAGTTGGTGCATGAGGAGGTAGAGGAATAAAATTCAGAAATTTGGAAAAACAATCCACAATGACCATGACTTGTGAATGTCCTCCCTCGCTCACCTTCCGCATGTCCGTGAAATCGATAGAGACCGACTCACCGGGCCCATCAGGGATTGGGAGGGGTTTCAGTAGGTCATAAGGCTTATTCCTATGGACCTTGGTTCTTTGACAGACTTGACATTCAACAATAAATTTCTGAGCAGATCCCTTCATTCCCGACCAATGAAACTGCTGCAAAAGACTTTCATAAGCCTTCTCAAAGCCGAAGTGCCCACTCCAACCATGTGCCAAATCCAAGAAATGAGTCCGAAGAGGCGCATGGTTGGGTACACACAAACGATCAAACTTCTCATACCGGCGGAATACAAGTCCCTCACACTCGTGAAAATTAGGCTGACTGTTGGGGTCTGCCTTGAGCTGCTCAAGGATGGGATTAAGGTCCGGATCCTCGACAGTGTGTTCGACCAGATCCTCCTTCAGTTTCCTTCGGAGGTCATACGAGCTCACAAGGCAAGTCAAAAACTCAGGATGACGCGACAAAGCATCAGCAACACGATTATAACAACCTTTCTTATGCCTCAGTTCAAAGTTGTAAACATCAATGTCATGCAGCCAGCGGGTCAGTGTCGGAGAGAGATCAGTTTGCATTTTAATCCATTGCAAGGTCTGATGATCTGAGTAGACCTTGAAGTGACGACCCAAGAGGTAGTGCTTCCAATGTGTAAGCGCTTCTCGCAAAGCATAGAGCTCACGCATATATGTGGAGGTAGCTACCTTGTGGATGGGCATGCGTTTGCTATAATATTCGAGCGAACGCAGGCCATCGCCATCATCTTGTTGCAACACTTCACCAATCCCATGCTCGCTCGCGTCCATAGTGACCACGAACGTGAGGTTGGGATCTGCAATGCGGAGCACAGGATGACTTACCAAAGCCTCTTTCAAGGCTTGGAACGCAGTCTCACATAGGCAGCATTCTTGCTTGTTAGTCTCGAGAGTGGGTGAGCAATGACAGAAAATTTCGGCACAAACTTCCGACAATACGAGGCTAAACCAAAAAAAGAACGCTGTTCGCGTACGTTTGCCGGTTGAGGCCAGTTTCGTATGACCTCAACCCTGGTTGCCTCCGGCTCAGGGCCGTTTGCAGACAACCGGTGCCCAAGATAGATGACGCTATCCCTTCCAAACTCAGATTTCTCTAAGTTGAGGTGCAATTGTGCCTTCTTGAGGACTTGCAAAACCTCCTCAAGGTGCTTGACGTGCTCTTCCATGGACTTGCTGAAAATCAGGATGTCATCGAGGTAAACAACAACAAACATGTTAAGCTGATGGCGGAGGACCTTGTCCATGAGGCACTGAAACGTGGCTGGTGCATTCGTAAGACCGAAGGGCATAACGATGAATTCGTAGAGGCCATCGCGTGTTTTGAATGCAGTTTTGTGTTGGTCACTCGGATCAACTTCAATTTGGTGGTAGCCAGATTTGAGGTCGATCTTGGAGAAGACCTTGCACCCACCTGCAACATCTAGCAGATCATCTATGCGAGGCAAGGGATAAGCGTTCTTTCGGGTGATACGATTTAGGCCACGGTAGTCAATACACATCCGGAGTTTGCCTCCTTTCTTCGGCACAAACAGGACAGAGCACCGAACTCAGACTCACTAGGCCTAATCCATCCACGATCAATCATACCATCAATTTGTCTCCTCAACTCCTCCAACTCGCCTTGTCCCATACGGTAGACGCAGCCCTTTGGAGGAACACTCCCTTCTATTATCTCGATCTTCTGTTTGACCGAACACTCGGGAACTCCACGAGGTTCAGCCAGAACTTCAGGAAATCGATCTAATAGACGACGAATGTTTATTGGGACTTCCGGTGGAGGATCATCCTCATCAGGAGAGAGAAAATCATATTGAGAATTTACAACAATTACAACCGAATTCGAGGTACTTGGATCAGAAGTAGACTGATTTTTTACAGTAGAAGTAGATGGAACAGAAGTAGAGGTAGTAAATGCATCAAAAGTAGAAGGCACATGGAGAGGCTTTACAAGAGCTACATGCACATGCTCGACTTCCTTGCACCTGCGCACTGATTTGCAGAATTTGTTTGCACTCAAAAAAGTCACAGGGGACTCGCGCGTATCGTCCAATAGAACAATACGCTCGTTCCCCTTAGCATCACGCACCACGAACTAAGTATCCGCCCACATGGTCCTTAGACAATGAGCCTTCAACCAGCCCAAGCCAATGACCGCGTCGAAAGGACACTTGTCCATGACATAAAAGTTCAGCTCATGTGTGACAGTGCGATCCTTGTCAAAAGTGACGTGCACACCTTTGACAGCATGTGTTGAGGTGACAACCTCTTGGTTGCCTACCTGGGTCTGACAAGGGTTCTGCAATTCCACCTGCTTCATTCCCAGGCCCGCCTTACGAATTCCGTTAGGAGAAAAGAAGTTAGTTGTCGAGCCATTATTAATCATCACATGGATGTATCGACGGTTAATGAGCAGCTTAAAGAAGATCAGTTCTGCACTCCCTTGAACATGGCATTGGTGCTTGAGCTGCAACCAATTTTCCAGGTGAGAGTGAAAGTTGACTTCCTTAGTCTCCTCCCAAGGCTCAGTGTAAAGTACTTGGACTGCAACAGCCTTGGATTCAGCATCAGTTCGGGCTTCAAGTGCGGGCTGATGATCAGATTCAGGCTCCTTGGAGGGGCCTGCAACTGACTGTTCAGCTTCCCTTGTTGTATGGAGTGCTGACAACTCTTCTACTGCGCCCTTTGCCCGTTTCCCTGCAGACGATAACAGTCTTGCACAGCGTGGTAGAAGCATCCTCTAGTTTCTCAGGGATCTTTGCATTCTTGGGGAAGTGTGTTATAGTTCCTTTACCCGAACCACGGTTAGGCCCCTTGCTTGAAGCAGTCTTTTTAAAGGCATTACATTTTTCTTAAGTATTCATGTCAAACTCAAGGACTGATGTAGAACAGCTCACGTCGGAGTCCGACTCTAGATCGTCATCTAGAGACAGATCATCCGCATAGGACTGATCCTCAGCCTCTCGATGTTCATGCAGGGCAAGCTGGTTGCTGCTTCTGTACCGCTTGCGTTGCGAGGTTCTACTTGCAACGGGTGCGTTTGTACGCCTGGCGAGGTCCTTGGCTTTTAGATTGACTAGATCTGTCAGTAGCTCTCGCCAAGTCGTATGGTCTTTGAGTACTAGCCGGGAGACATATTCCTTAGGGGCCACTCCTATAACTACATCCATGCAAGACACGTCAGTCCATCCCAGGTTTGGAGTGGTGAACAAACCAGTCAAGTGCTGCTCCAAAGCCTGCATAGAAGTCCTCTACGTTTGACCCTTGAGGGCCTCAAGCGTCAGCCTTGCCTTGAGCACAACGTACTTATCTTGATATTGCACGATGAGGAGGTCCTCAAGAGTACGTACAGGAGTTACTTTCAGCCAATCAGTCGTATCAATTCTCTCATAACCTGCTGTAACAGCTTGGAGTTCTATGAAACTCCGTACGGTGGGCTCAGTATTTGTGCCCATGATCATGTTTCGGTCTTCCTGCGGTGTTCGCAGTACCTCGAAGTATGAGCGCATGGAGCTAATCCAAGAGGTGATGTCCCCCTTCCCGTCGTACTTGGACGGCAGAGTGGCCGCCCTCTTGTCCACTACGGGACCGCTGTATTATACGCCTGTAAGAACTGCGGCATTTTGGGCTGATGTTCCTGCATTTGGAACTAGGACCAGTGCAGAACTGTCGGCGCTGCCGCTTGAGGAGCTGACACCGGTTCCTGCGCTACCACTTGCTCTTGACATGAGGACTGTGTTAGGGTGAGAGACTGGGACTGCAGCCGGTCGAGGATTAGGAGGACGGGGGGAAGACAGTTGGGACTATTTGAGGCTGATTATCTCCGCCTGCAGCTCTTGGTTCCGCTGCTCTAGAGCTGTCACACGAGACTCTATATCTTCCAGGGTCCGCAGTCGAACCAAGGTTGCTACGGCAGCAGCTAGCTTCTCTTGAACCAGTCATCATTCGATTCCGGAACCACAAGGAGGGCCACCCGTTCAAAAATACTTGTGACTTTGGCTGCTGCCTCTGCCTCCCTCTCTCTGTGTATTGCATCCTCATAAATTTTCTGAAAGAAAGGTTTCTCGTTCTCGACCGTTGCGTCCAGCATGGCCTTCCATTGCTCGGACGTGATGTCTGCCATGCCGGAGGATAGGGTGTCAATAGATCTCTCAAGAGGGGTCCGCACTTTGCTCACTTTTGGACGAACACTCCTCTTACCCTTCCTCACACTCTAAAAAAGAACACCTTCTCTCTCCCTTCTCTCTCTTTCCGCTTTTTGCGCACGTGTCTCAATACCGGACATAGATAGTTCAGATTAAAGAAAAAAACAGTAAATCACAAAGAGTAGAAGGTAGAACTCCTAGCCGGAGCGGCAATTCATTTGGACTTAGAGAATGGCATTCACGCAGCAGAATAAAGATTAAAAAAAAAAAAAAAAAAAAAAAAAC